GGCGACACCAGCACCGACTCGTTTTTAATGTGTGTCTACAGCTAGAGAGAGACTGGAATTAGTACAGACACGAGCACGTGTGAGCCGCCATATACATTTCCTGGCGCTGTCCCGAGGGGCCCAGAAGCAACAGCCCGGGAACAGTGAGACACCCAACGCCAGATCTTGGTGGCTAAATACCAGGCTCTGTGAAAGGGCCGGGGAACAGGTGAGCCCGGGCCCTCTCCTGCAGCCGTAAGTCAGAAAGTGCTTTCGAAAGGACAGGGCATGCTGAAAGGGCATAGAAGGGACACAAACAAGGTCCCAATGGCCAAAGCTACAGCAGCCTGAGCAACAAAATTCGTTACCAGATTCCGACTCATAGACTCCAACAAACATCTAGGAATCCATACCGATGTCACCAACCGGATAAGTGGTGAAGGGACCGCTCGCCTTTTCTTTTTTCTCTTTTCTCTTCTTTTTCTTTCTTTCATGATGATGATGATGATGATGATGATGATGATGATGATGATGATGATGGACTGCTTTCTTAGGGAAGAATTCTGCTTCCTGTTGAAGGAGACCCGTAAAAACAATTCCTGCACCACAGGATGCTGAACCTCGCAGGCAAAGCGAGGGTTCGCTCGGTCTCAGTTTTTCCCCCGACGGATTACGAAGGGGCGAACAGTAACTTTACAGCAGAGACACCTGGCAGCTCCCCGTGAACTGGGTGATAAAGGTCGTGCCGCCAGGAATGAGACAAACCGCCATCCAGAGTCCCCCAGGATGCACTGAGAAGGGGACATCCTAACCGTGGTGTCCTTTCCTAGAATACGTAACCCGGTCTAAATGCCAAGTGAAACAATTCCCAATGGGACTGACCTTCAAAAGTGCCAAGGTCACGGAAGGCAAGGAAAGGCTGAAGCACTGCCAAAGAAGTGGTGGACCAGGAAAAGCATCTGCAACACAGGTGGCCAGGACGGCTGGCTGAACTTGAATAAAGTCTGCAGTTTGGGTGACGGCATTGCATCAGTGCTGATGTCTGAGTGTGTATGAGGGTGTCTTTGTTTTTAAAGAAATCCGCACAGAAAGATTTAGGGGCAAGTGGCATCATGCTGAAATTACTCTCGATCTATTCAGGAAAAAAAAAAAAAAAAAACCCAGAATGATGAGAGGTTAACAGCTGGGGAGCTGGGTCGGGAACGTACAACTCTGTAGACTAGTCTCCTTTCTTTAAATCTGAACATCGAGATGACAAAATGACACTTAGTATTCGCAGTTAAGCATAAATAGGCTGACTTTAACAGAAATAAGGGAAGATGCTAGTTACATCAATTTCAGGGACATCTGAAAATTTTTGCGTCTTTCTATGAAAGTTACGTAATGCAAGGCAATGTGAAGAGAGACAAGATGTGATTCTCTGCAAATACGGACAGGAGAGGACGTGGGGACACCGGAACGTCACGCCCCACTGGTGGGAGCGTGCGATGGGGCAGCCGCTGTGGGGACGGCGCAGTTGCCCTACGATCCGGCGACCCTGCTCTACTTTTGGGGATCTGAGAACATAGGTTCACATAAAAATGTGCAAATAATGCTCACAGCAGCATTATTTTAATAGCCAGGAAGTGGAAACAACCCAAATGTCCATCAACTGATGATCAGACAAACAGAATGTGATGTGTCCACCGTGGAATATTGGGCAGGAAAAAAGACCGACTTGTGCTATAAAATGGGTAAATTTTTAAAACGTTGCGCTAACTTAAGGAAGCCAGACACGAAAGGTCAGGTACTGTACGGTTCCATTCACGCGATGTGTCCAGAGCAGGCAAATTCAGAGTCAGAAAGTAGCCTGGTGCCTGCCGGGGGAGGGGTGGGTGACGGGGAGTGACTGCTGGCGGGTTTTCTACGGCAATGAGAAGGTTCTGGAATTTGAAGATGGTGGTGGATGTGTGACTGTGGATATACTAAAATCACTGAATTGTACATAAATTGGGAAACTTTGTGATATGTCAATTACATCTCAGTAAAGCTCTCATTTTAAGAAATCCATAGTGACAAGGGGTTCATCTGAAGGGTGTGGGAAGGCATGTCATCGGCTTTTTGTGCTGACTGAACGTGCTACCTTTTCGATTTAAAACCTGGTTTTCTTAAACAAGCACCTGAAACAATGCCATAAAAGCCGGCTCCACCGTCGCTGCCTTTTGGCCCCGTCTATGGGTCACCCAGCTGAGACCCCGAACGCCAGCTCGGCAGCACGGCCCCACGGCCCACAGGCTCCATCACCTGCCCCTCCGCCCAGCCACGCTGCAGCCTGGCTCGCCCGAGCTTTCCAGTGTTCACCTCAGGATCTCTGCACGTGCTGCTCTCGCTGCCAGTACAGCTGTCCCCCCAAATACCTGCGGGCTCGCACCTCCCCCCGCCCCCCTCCCCGGGCCTCTCTCATGCTCGCCGCCCCGTTTTCCTGCACCCCACGCTGTTTCCCGTTGCCCGTGTTCCTGCACGGAGCCCACGTTCCATGAGGGTGAGAATTTTGTTTTGTTTGGGGCTATTTCCCTGGCACCTGAAGGCGGTGCCTGGCATTTAGTGGGCATTCACGTTCACATTTGTCAGATGAGTTAACAGACTCAGATGCAAAGACGACCTCACTATGCTCTCAGGCGGCACACGCCACCTAGACAGGACACCCGGGAGTGCGGGACTGGGATGGGGGCACAGGCCCTCTGCAAATGTCTGCTGTAGCCAGGGACAGAGACGCCGAGTCCACACTCCCACACCTGACTCATCTCTATTGCAGTTATGATATGGCGTGACAATTCCGCGTCCGTTCACTGTGTCAGACTGTCTGCTCCCCAAGGAAACAGCCATCACTGAGCAGACAGTGTCAGGACTTTATGGGGTGTCTGCGGGGTGCAGCCACCGTGCGTGAACTCCTGTTGCGTTTCACCCCATCTGCAAATAGGGGGCTATTCCTTCTTACTCCAGATGGCTCAGAAACATGCATCTTTGCTCAACCCACCTGAAGCCGGGGCACACGCCAGACCGACTGTCCTGTGCACAGGGACCAGGAGGTCACAGTGAGCACAGCCCCTCCTCCTGGGAGCTGTTTCCCCTGCAGCAGCACCTTCGAACACCCTGATGACCGATGGGAAGCCGAGCGAGTCGCGAGCCCGCTCCGACTGTGTGGGTGCGGAGCCCGGCCCCCCGCTGTTGTGACGAGCACCCTGTGGCTCGGAGTGGGGGCGAAGGCTGGAGGAGAGGGCACGCAAGACCAGCGAGGACTCTCACCCTCTCCCTCACTCAGGAGACTCTGCGGATGAAGAGGGTGCTGGCCGTCACAGGGAAGCCCAGCACCGCCCTGGAGGGGACCAGCCGCCTGGCTCCGCTGACCACAGGTCCTCTGTCCACCCACAGCTTCCCTCAGAAGCGTCCCCATGTGTTCGTGACATGGTCCATCAGTCCAAGAGGCAAATGGATGTCATCCCCACTTCACAAATCAGGACACTGAGGCTGCAAGCGGGAGAACCCCGCTTAGGAGCCCAGGGGACACCTGGCTCTGCTCACCTCACTGGGGTCACTGGCCAAATCTCGGTTTTCTTAGCCATTACCCTCACTGCACCCCCAGTGACATCACACTCCTCCCACCCTCCCTAAGCCCTACCACCTGCTGCCGCTCCACATGCCGACAGCTGCCCGATCAGCTGTCCAGCTGAAAGCAACTCTCGCGTGAGCCCAGCCCAAGATGCCCAGCGGCCTCCTGCACTCAGCTCCGCGGGTGACTGACCCCTTCCCGTTTCTTCTTGGGACCTTCAACATTCTTGCACCCGCCCCCTCGGCCCCACCTCATACTGCCGGGTGAGCCCTCCCCAACCCCGAGCCACCTCCCCACAGCTCCCCACCCGAGTGGCTGCCAGCCCAGCATTCAAGGCCTCCCGCCCAGGCTGACCTCGCCCTCCACTGGGGGCTCCTTAGCTTCTGGACCGCAAGGAGCCAGATGACCCCCGCCTCCCCCAACCTGGCCTGTGCCTGCTCAGCCCAAGGCCACCTCCTCAGGTACGCAGCCTGACTCGGCCTGGACGATCTGACCTGTCACTTCCACCCCTCGGGCCATAGCAGCTAAAGCCAGGCATCTGACAGTCCCTTCCCCTGCTGGACAGGGCTCCTGCGGGGCCGAGACAGGCCATCTCAGTTATCTTGCCTCCAGAGCCTGGCTCTGTAGTGATGGCATAGGCTGTGGGACTGCCTCCCGGAAGGGCGAGGCCCCCCACTGCCATCAGCCCTCCCTGGTCCCGCAGGACGGCTGGGTGGACTGGAGCTCGGCAATGCTGGCTCCCAGTCGCCGCTCTCGGGAGGCTGTCGTCACCTCCTGAGCAGCCCTGCAGCAGGTGGTAAAGGGGCAGAGGCTGCCCCCCCGCCTGGCACCCCCACAGGTACCTGTGAGGCACCGAACAGGAGCCTGGCTCTGGGCTCGCCGAGTGGCCCACGGGCCTGCCCCCCCAGAGGGCGGTGGGGAGGCCAGAGGAGACTCCGGAGAGGCGCCCTCGCCCTGCCTCTCCCCGGGGTCTCGCCTCCTGAACTGCCCTGGCCTGTTGTCCTAGGGGGCGGTCCAGCCGGGCACATGGTCCACCCACCTCTCCAGCTCCCTGCAGATCACGTGAGGCTCTGGCACAGCTCCCGTCAGCCACCTCAGCGGATGGGCAGCGAAGGGAGGACGCCCCCACGCCAGCTCCGCTCGCCAGCAGGAGCCTGGAAGCGTGAAGGGATCACGCTGTGGAATGAGGGAGCTGCAGCCGAGATTCTCAGCACCAGAGGGAAGGAACGGTCCAACCCGGCCACCTGGAAGCCGGTGGCAACACCGATGCCCTGCTCCCCCGCGGGGCAGGCAGGGGGACTGCACTGTCCTCCCACCCACCCGGCAGAGCGGAGACAGCCACCACCCCCCATCGGGTCCCGGGTCCCTGCTCCCACCCAGGTCGACACCAGAGCTCTGACCCAGGCAAGAACTCCACCAGCGGGACGAATCGAACTGTTCCAGTTCTACACACGTTTCTATTTTATTATGGGAAAGGTGGAAACGCCACCTTTTCCACAACAGCAACCAGTAAAATTTATCCCAAAAATAACTCAGTACAAAACATGTCTGTTTCAGAATTAAAAAAAAAAGAAAAAAAAAGAAAAAAACCTTTACATGAGTTTTAAATCCTATCTTAAAACGTAAGGGAAACAAATCCATCATTGGCAACCGCAGCCCGCCGCCCCATCCCGCCAGGGAGCACGGACGACACGTGGGGATCCCGCTGCTCGCCGGGTCTGCTTAGCTGGTGTCCATCTGAAACACAAGAGAGGGTCTCACTCGAAAGGAGGCCACGCTCCCGTCGCCGGCCGGCCAGCTCCCCGGGCCCGTCTGGGACTTACTCTGGCGTTGTAAGCGTCCAGCTGGGCGTCCAGCTCCTCTGCAGAAAGCTGCTGCTTTGAACTCCTGCCGGTGCCTCTGCCTCTGCCCCGGCTGCCTCCACGGGCGCCTCTCCGAGTGCCGCCGCCGAACCCTCCAGAACCGCGGTTTCTAGTCATCCCGCCTCTGCTGACACTGGCGAGGAACAGAAGACTCGTTCACACACACGGGAAGGGCCGAGGACGAGACCGCACCGAGGCCAACCCTGCCCAGAGGCCCCAGGGCTCACCTCTGCGCCGGTCTCCGCTGTGTGTCAATCTGTGATGTGACAAGCTGAATGTTCATGGGGCGGCCTGCGGCAAAGAACACAAGAAGGCCCGTCGCAGTTAGGGCTCCGGCGCCTGCCCGGGGCGCCGGGGCCGGGCGCAGCAAGCCTGGAGCGGGCGCTGCGCGTCTCCTACGCTCCCAACGGGACGCGGCCTGGAGAACGAGGTGGCGCCAACGACAACCCACCGACACCTCCTCGCTCCTTCGGTCAGCTTAGGTGGGTGTCTGGTCAGGCGTCCCGGTGCTCATGGGCGCAAAGGTGTGGGTGACCTGACAGGAGAACCGGTACCTCCGTCTTTACGACCACAGCCCCGCACTCAGAGGCCTGCTGTGGCGGTTCTGAGAAGGCTTCACAGAAGTGAGTCTTCCGGAAGGAGCTGAAGGAGGGGAGGGTGGAGCTTGCTGGATGGGGGTTCACAAGAGGTTGGTCCAGGTGTGTGGGGCAGCATGAGAGGTGGCAGAATGGAAGAGAGAGACAAAGGGGCGAATGCAAAGTGTCCTCGGCCAGAGAGGAAGCCATATTCCTGCGTGGACAGGTGCCAGCCCCAACTCCTCAAACTAGGTATGGCCCTCGGTCTTCCTGGGTCCGACCCGAACGCACCATCCAAAGGGACACCGTTGTACTGTTTCATGGCTTTCAGGGCGTCTGCCTTCCGCTCGAAGTGCACGTCAGCGGTCCCCAGGCTGCGGCCGGAGCGGTCGTAGTGCACGGCTGCCTTCTTCAGCGTCCCAAACTCAGCAAAGAGCTCCTGCGTGTTGGAAAGAGCAACAGTCAGTAAAGCCCTCTCCCGTCTGGTGGCCCAGGGACAGTCCCCCGGCAGCGTGTGCTACTTTGAAGGCATTTCCCTGGGAGGCAGACATATGTGTGGGGGGGCAGGGCAGGGGGAGCAGGAAATAGGGGAGAGGATGGGGCAGGTGGGACAGCGACTCCCAGGAGCAGCTGAGCCTGAGGGCTCCTGCCAACCCGGGGACCTGACATCCGGACCACGATGCAGGTAAAGAATCCCGAAGCCCACCAGTGAAGGGCAAGAGCTGAGGTCGCTACCTTCTTCGACAGAGGAAAGTTCAGAACACACCCAGGACTGTGCCAACAAACAGCCAAGGCCAAGATCACAGAACGAGGGACGCCATCCGACAGGTGGACCAGCTCAGAGGGCCCACTGATCCGGAAGCCCTGACCCAGCCCCTCCCCCAGGGCGGGTTCTGGCTCACCTTTCCCTCTCCTCCTACTCAAGCCTGCCGCAAAGTCTGAAGTCAAGCGCTGCCATGGGAACTGCCCTGACCTCAGGCAGGCTGGGAGTTGGAGAGGGAACCCAGAGTGTGGGGCTACTCCGGCCGCAGGCACACAGCGGGAAGTGGAGTTCGCCAAAAGCGGTTTCCAGTGGATGCCAGAAACCACCTTAAAAAAAGTGTTGAGACACTGTGAGTGCTCACCGGCCTCGCTCCGTCCTCCCACAGCTGGGCTCTGGGGAGACTGAACCCAGGACGGCCCAGCACCCTGACCCGGCCATCTCCAGAACGGACCCCCAAAATGTCGTCACTTAACCGGAAAACAGGTTTAACTGCGTTTGGGGTTCAACCAAAAAAACAAAAATAAAAATGAAAAATGAAAGAGAAGCTTCAACCAAAGATGGGTTTGAGAATCAGGCTGCTGACAAAACCCAAGGGATGGCCGTAAGTGAAGGACACCGAAGAGACACAGGGCTCGAGGCAGACGGAGCCGGAAGGCCGCGCCGCCAGCTCTACGCGCAAGGGCCTTCTCCCCACAAGTTGTGAAAACGGGACCGTGATAAAGCGGACAAGCAGCCTAGCTCTGTCGGTAACGCAGGAACCACTCACACCTGGCCGGACTCTCCCCGTTAGAAGCTGG